AAAAAAGAGACTTAACAGGCTTTCGGTCTCTTTAAATGACAAAAAAGAGACTTAACAGGCTTTCGGTCTCTTTAAATGACAAAAAATTAGACTTAACAGGCCTTTCCAACTCGACGCACAATTAACCTCAACCACAAAGAAAGTTAAGCCTTTCCAACTCGACGCACAGTTAATCTCATCCACAACGAAAGTTAAGCCTTTCCAACTCGACGCACAATTAACCTCAGCCACAAAGAAAGTTAAGCCTTTCCAACTCGACGCACAGTTAATCTCAACTACAAAGAAAGTTAAGCCTTTCCAACTCGACGCACAATTAACCTCAACCACAGAGAAAGTTAAGCCTTTCCAACTCGACGCACAGTTAATCTCAACTACAAAGAAAGTTAAGCTTTCCAACTCGACGCACAATTAACCTCAACCACAAAGAAAGTTAAATCTTTCCAACTCGACGCACAATTAACCTCAACCACAGAGAAAGTTAAGCCTTTCCAACTCGGCGCACGGTTAATCTCAACCACAACGAAAGTTAAGCCTTTCCAACTCGACGCACAATTAATCTCAACCAAAAATGAAAAATGTGGACGGTTCAAAAGCGTTGTAAACAATGATTTGTTTAAAACTGCACCAGAGAAATGATGAAGTGGCTGCACGCCCTCTACGTCCATCAATCATGAACAGAGTAATAGAAGAAAAAGTCTTACCGACTCGATTTCTTTTTCCAAGCGGAAGATTTCCTCTTGCAGAAGGTGCAGTGTCCCAGTTTTCCCACGATGCCTTGCGAAAGCCGCTGCACAAGCAGAATGAATGCTATTAATCCAGTTCTCTAATTCTACCTGGCAGGGGGCCTGTAACAACAACAACAACAACAAAACATAATCCAAGATGCAACAGTAAAGTGGTAACAGCGAAAGTTTTTCTTCTTGATTTAATATAAATGACGGAGGTTTTAATATTATATTTTCAGTCGACAATAAGTGTATCAAAAATTTGTAAATATACTTCCCGGACACACTGTAAAATTATTTTAAGGTTTTAAAAAACAAAAAAAACAACAAATTTACAAAAATGTTATTATCTTTTTCTTTTTAGTTTTCCAATAATTTGACGAGATCTACAGCAACGAAGACAAAATCGTGGATACCTAACTTTTTATCACGTTATCTCCTATCTCAGTTATTTCTACATATTTACAGAAAATCCGCAAAACAACAACAACAAAACACAACGTTTAAAGAACTATCCGTTCGATAGAAAACTATGACGTATGAAATGAAGCGACATCTAGTGTCATTACCTGAAAAAGATATGCATCTCCGAAAGCAGTGCTCAGGCAGAATATATAATCTCGTTTAGGGTGTTCTGGGATAGGCTGCATGATTGCTCCATCAACGATGATTAGGTGTTTAGGGGTGTTATCAATTGCACGGCCATCTCGGTTATCACAGGGATAGAATAGAAGGGTAGTACCCTTTAAACTAACCCAATACCCTTTCCAGCCTCGCTTCTTGGCTAGCTCCACCTGGCGGTGTTTTCTAAGGAGCCACTTCTTCACGCTCAGAAATCTGTTAAAAACAGAGGGTAATATATAGAAACCAGAAATCTGTTAAAAACAAAGGGTAATGTACGAAACCAGAAATCTGTTAAAAACAAAGGGTAATATACGAAACCATAAATCTGTTAAAAACAGAGGGTAATATATAGAAACTCAATCATAGAGATACGAAACCAGAAATCTGTTAAAAACAAAGGGTAATATACGAAACCAGAAATCTGTTAAAAACAGAGGGTAATATATAGAAACAATTACAGAGATACGAAACCAGAAATCTGTTAAAAACAGAGGGTAATATACAGAAACCCAATTATAGAGATACGAAACCAGAAATCTGTTAAAAACAGAGGGTAATATACAGAAACCGAATTACAGAGATACGAAACCAGAAATCTGTTAAAAACAAAGGGTAATATACGAAACCAGAAATCTGTTAAAAACAGAGGGTAATATATAGAAACTCAATCATAGAGATACGAAACCAGAAATCTGTTAAAAATAAAGGGTAATATACGAAACCAGAAATCTGTTAAAAACAGAGGGTAATATACAGAAACCCAACTATAGAGATACGAAACCATTTCTTCCGTGTACCCATTTTAAACCCGTAGTCTCTCTCTCTTTATGTGTACCCATTTTAAACCCGTAGTCTCTCTCTCTTTATGCAAGTTAGGAATTTTGGCTTTTGGAAAACGATGCTTAATTTGTCATTTATTATTAGCAAGAATTTGTAATAATCCAAACCAAAAACGAGGGTTAGAGCGGTACCCTACGATTTTTTGTAAGTGGAGGATGAAATATATATTTTCCAGTATCTGTAAACACTAATATATATATATATATATAAATATGTTACACAGCAAAACAGTTACTACTTAATGATACCCTCGCTGTGATTTGTCGTATTTCGTTACTACTTAATGACACCCTCGCTGTGATTTGTTGAATTTCGTTAATACTTAATAACACCCTCGTTGTGATTTGTTGAATTTCGTTACTATCTAATAACACCCTCGCTGTGATTTGTTCAATTTCTTTACTACTTAATAACACTCTCGCTGTGATTTGTTGAATTTCTTTACTACTTAATGACACCCTCGCTGTGATTTGTTGAATTTCGTTACTACTTAATAACACCCTCACTGTGATTTGTTGAATTTCATTACTATCTAATAACACCCTCACTGTGATTTGTTCAATTTCTTTACTACTTAATAACACCCTCACTGTGATTTGTTGAATTTCTTTACTACTTAATGACACCCTCGCTGTGATTTGTTGAATTTCGTTACTGTTTAATAATACCCTTCATCTGATTTGTTGTTTTTGTTAGGGATTTTTTATACATGTTCTTCTTTTACATTATTTACCAAATTCTGTACACGAATTACCACTACTTTAAAAACGTTTTCTTTCTTTGTTTTAATTACGAGAACATTTTGATGTACAATTTTACAAGGATTTTAACGATAACTTTTAATGTCATCATCATGGATTCTGATGATGAAAGTTTTAGGTGACAGAATCTATTAGTTTAATCATCTTTCCTAAGTTCAACCGTCAATAAACACGGGGCTGTACAACAACAACAACAACGCGGTGTGACTCAGAGCAGGGATCGAACTCCGAATTCCAGCGTTATAAAAAGTTCTCGGCCTTACCGCATTGTTTACAAACACCTACAAATGATCGGAATCCATGGTAACTATTTCTCGAACAGTCGAGGACCTTGATAGTTGGTTATTTTGGTTTTTTTTTTAAATCTCTCTCTCTCTCGAAATGAAATGGGTATGTAAACGGCTATTTTTGTTGTTGAATAATGATTTTACGAGTCTCAAATATTAAAGTTTCGGGTAGCTCTGAAGAAGAAGGAAAAAAAACAAAAACGAACCATTTTTTTTGGACAGCAACTCTCGCTTAAAAGGTTCCATTAAGATGAAATATGTAGTACCAGTAAAATCCACATCGTGTGACACGACTGATATTGGAGAAGGCAACGCTCACACAATGTAATATTATTCCATTAGTGACACGCGCCACATTTCGTAACCTGGTCAAATACGCTAATTTATTGTCGACGAGGGATACGAATCAAGTCAGATGTTGACTTTCTCAAGTTCATTCTCTTCTTTTACGAACATGTATGTCCACAAGCGTGGCCTAAATATACCGTAACCCTGTATGTTTAGAACCCTGCCGACACTGAGTCGCCAGAAGATGTCGACGTGGTGACGTCACTGTCTCGGCGTGTTGGAGAGTCCACGTATACTGTTGGAGGAGGGGAACCTTCTGATTGTAGATTATGATGGGCTTTAGTAATCTGTTGTTTGTTTGTAGGTATGCACAAAGCTACACAATTGGCTATCTGTGCTCTGCCCATCACGGGTATCGAAACCCAGTTTCTAGCGTTGTAAGTCCGCAGACATACCGATGTACCACTGGGGGGGGGCAGTAATCTGTGAATACCCACCCGCCGCCAACTTTTTGAGTTACCCTAATAGAATAATCGGATACTGATTGTCACTCTTATAGCTCATTCATTGTTCCAAAGTGTGCACAAAGATTTTCTGGAAACGGGACGCGAACCATGCTGAATTAACCCACGTTGGAAAAAGCTTACCGCTTTCTTAATTTGTTCTTCCGCACACGTCCAAGTTAAAAAAATAGCTCCAAGTTGTTTTTTTTTAAATATTTAATTGCTTATGGTGTCCTTTACCCTCGAGATCGAAAAGGTTTACCGAAATCTAGATTAGGACCTCCAAACTATGTTGTAAGTAGTAATCATAGTTAAATATATCGCGTAAGTAATTTGACTTTCTAAAGATCACAACGATACAAGAAGTTTGTTAACACCTAATTCTTAACTGGCCCATTAGGGGTTCCAATACAAATGGTCAACTTACAGTGTCTCTGCGTGATGAAGCTCATCAGTCCAACTATTGTTTGAAACACAAGTGATGCCAGTGATTTATGAAACAATATTCATGACATGTCATCCTGTAAAACTAATGGTAAGATGATGATAATTTTACTACGATTATTTGACCTATAACCAAGATAAATCCACCTTGCATTTAATTAAATTAAAAGTAAATGTACTGACAAATTATCAAAAAAAAAACTGTAGCAATATGCAGACTAAATCATCACAGCCTGAGATGAATATTTCTATTTAGTAAACCCTAATTGGACACAACGTTGTATCTAACTTAAAGAGTCTTAGGCCTAACTTACCCAGCCTTTCTAACAGCACCGGTACAGTTGAAAGAGGCCGCGGCAGTCCCCGAACGAGCCCTGAATGGGGAGTTTCTTGTCTCGGCGTCCTCTTCGTCACTAACAGCAGTAGTAAGAGACAGTCTATCGTCATCAGACATCTGGATGGAGAAATAAACGTGATAAAAGAAAAAGCTTTAAACCGTACTACAGAATGGTAGTGTTAATAATGTCCTGATTATCAATTACGGGAAATTTAAACACAATTACATATTTCAGTTTACGTAATACCATATTTAATATTTCTAAGACATGTGAGCCACGACGGAATACTGAACAAGCTGAATTAAATATAACTTTAGTCAAAATTCAAACCTTAATTGTTATGGAATAAATGAAAAAAAAAAAAAATGTATTGGTACTTTCAGCCGTGGGGACGTTATAATGTGACAGTCAATTTCGATTAGATTAGAGTAGCCCAAGAGTTGGCGGTGGGTGGTGTTGACTAGCTATCTTCCATCTAGTCTATCACCTCTAAAATGGGGGGGCGACTAACCAGCTAACTTTGCGTGGTATTCAACAAAGAAACAAATAAATTTGAAATGTATATTTTAAAACACGGGGACAAAATGGACAGGTCCGAGAACCATAGAGTTAAGATACAGCAAAGCAGATAGAGGGTAACCAGTCAGCATCACCCGCCGCCACGAGATTGACTATCATTTTTTTTATAATGCGCCAATAGCTGAAAATTTGGAGAGACATCACAGCTCAAAATTTGGATCTTCTAATCCGTAGCCCTGTGCGCTAGACTCTTGGTTATGCCTGGCCCAATAAACATGACAGTACAATTATTAAATATACAATTTATTTTGAACATTACATATCAATAAATAGTCAAACATAGAGAGTTATAAATGTGAATAAACGGAAGGTCCGTGACCTGAATATATTAGATGTTTATGGTTTTCTGTATATCACGCCCCCTGGTGGCCTAGCGGTAAGTTTACGAATGCAGGGGGTTGATTCCACGTGGAGAACAGAGCGCTCATAGCATATTGTGATACTCTGCAAACTTTGTCCCTTGTGGGTCAGCGTTAATCTCACGGACTTATAACACTAAAATCCTGTGTTAGATTTCTCCGCGATGGACAGAACAAAGCGAAGATAGATCGCTGTGTAACTTTGCGCTAAAACAGACTATATATTACGTTATGTACAAACATACTAAATCACTGATTGCACCAAGGCCATGAAAATAAACAAACAGATGGTACAATTATCGCGTAGATATTTTATCGACATTTTATACACACAAAAAAATATAATGTTGAAAGTAAATATGTATATCAAATTTATCTAAAACGTAGAATCTTGTTTCGATTACGCTCTTAAAGTATAAACATCTAATCAGAACTCGTGCAATATTCTGTTTCAACTAAAATATAAGTAAATCTCATCGGAAAACTTAAAATGCTATTCATGAGATAACACACAACGTTCTGAAGCAACTAGGATCTTGTCAGAAAGGTTTTGGATGAAGCAAGTAGAGAGAAACGTCTGTTTGTACAGTAACATCCTGTAACAAGTAGGTACAAACAGACGTTCCTCTACTTGTTACAGGATGTTACTGTACAAACAGACGTTCCTCTACTTGTTACAGGATGTTGCTGTACAAACAGACGTTCCTCTAGTAACATCATGTAGCAAGTAGAGGAACGTCTGTTTGTATAGTAACATCCTGTAACAAGTAGAGGAACGTCTGTTTGTACAGCAACATCTTGTAACAAGTAGAGGAACGTCTGTTTGTACAGTAAAATTCTGTAACAAGTAGAGGAACGTCTGTTTGTATAGTAACATTCTGTAACAAGTAGAGAGGAACGTCTGTTTGTACAGCAACATCCTGTAACAAGTAGAGAGGAGCGTCTGTTTGTACAGTAACATCATGTAGCAAGTAGAGGAACGTCTGTTTGTACAGTAACATCATGTAGCAAGTAGAGGAACGTCTGTTTGTACAGTAACATCATGTAGCAAGTAGAGGAACGTCTGTTTGTACAGCAACATCCTGTAACAAGTAGAGAGGAACGTCTGTTTGTACAGTAACATCATGTAGCAAGTAGAGGAACGTCTGTTTGTACAGCAACATCCTGTAACAAGTAGAGGAACGTCTTGGGAGCTAAACAAATACAAGAGCCACAGGTACGGCCCTCAAATACTCTCAAGGGCCGTAATACCATTTGTCAGTCCACAAGATGAGACACGTACGAACCGTGAGCACCTAGCAACACTGATTCTACTACTTTGTATTTTTGTTTGTCTTTAATTTCATGCAAAGCTGCTCGACAGCTGTCTGTGTTAGCTGCTCAGTCCTAATTTTGAAGTGACAGACTAGAGGAAAGGAAGCTAGTCAACACCACCCACCGCCAACTCTTGGGTTACTCTTTTACCGACGAATAGTGCGATTGACCAGTACGTTACAACGCCTCGGGTTTCAGCCACACTTAAGAAAGCAAGTTTGTGTTTACTCATTGTTTTGTCGAAAGATTTTGTGGAGTGAAACATTAAATATGAACGTTTCGCCGGACTTCGCGCAATTTCTCTTTTATTCTAGTTTATTCGGGATATGTTTCTTCTTTGAAATGGCAGACGAAAGAGAAGACAGCTAGTCAACAGCACCCATCGCCAACTGTTAGTCTGATTGAATAGTGGGCTCTGACAGTCACTCTTATAACGCGCCCACGGCTCCAAATTGCTGAGCGTGGTTTTATTCTATTTTTTTGCGAACGATTAGACACGCAGAATCCACAGCTCGGCAAGCTAATCGTTGGGTTCACAATTTGGAAACAAAAACCTTCGATTTCTTCGGAATATCACACTTTGAATATAGTTTGTTGTAGACGTACTTGAGCTTTCTTTTGTGTTTTGAATTAACAGAAGCCGGAATTTGTCCAAATGATATAGACCCAATAGATATGGGAACGAAGATACAAGACTTAACTACTGCAGCCCAGTCACGCGACAGATAATCTGGTTCTATGCACAAACAGGATGAGCATATTAATGCGGGAAGCGAAGCAGTCTCGGAATTAAATCAGTCGCTGGAAGTCGTACCGATACATCACTGTCTTCCGCTTATGGTGGCTCAACAACGAGAATTAGTAATTGTGAGAATCTTTGAGTGAAAGTAAACAAGAACGTATAATAATACGTCAACAATGGAAGAACCACTTTGTATGTCGGTAGTGCGCAGGCTCAACGATTTCGTGTCTCACGTGTAACATCGATGCAAAAAAATGAAGGAATCCCTGAACGACGTAGAAACCTTATCTATTCTCTATCTGCAGTGGACTAGTTTCACCGAATTCACAGCTAACCATGTCGGTAGTGCGCAGGCTCAGCGATTTTGTGTCTCACGTGTAACATCGATGTAAAAAAATGAAGGAATCCCTGAACGACGTAGAAACCTTATTTATTCTCTATCTGCAGTAGACTAGTTTCACCGCATTCACAGCTAACCATGTCGGTAGTGCGCAGGCTCAACGATTTCGTGTCTCACGTGTGACATCGATGCAAAAAATGAAGGAATCCCTGAACGACGTAGAAACCTTATCTATTCTCTATCTGCAGTAGACTAGTTTCACCGAATTCACAGCTAACCAGCACTGCAGAATATCGCTTACTCGAAAATCTTCTTTGGAGGGGGTTGGTTGTTGGATTGTAGTTAAGCACAAAGCTACACAATGGGCTATCTGTGCTCTGCCCACCACGGGTATCGAAACCCGATTTCTAGCGTATTAAGTCCGTAGACATACCGCTGTGCCACTGGGGGTGGGGTGGAGGGGGATGTTAGTTAAACAAATTTTTGAGCTAAAACTCACATTTACATACATTAAAAACTCGGAGAAAAATATGTATTTCAATAGGTCTAAGTGGAATAGAACAGCTTGCACAAAATTATAAAAAATATAGGATTCTATTTTTTTTCTTGAATTAGAAAAAAGAAATTATTTTCAAAAATAACGCGCGTTTTACTCTCCCCCTCTCACATACACACATGGATTTGACCCTTTTATTTATTGATTTTTATTTGATGACTAAACCTGAAATATAATGTTTATGAAAATAAAGGCTAATCTTGAATTTAACATCTCCATATTGTTTTTCATACACAGTAAACAGCGACCCCTATAGTTCAGGCATCGTAGTCTTTACTTGTGAACCGTAGACTAAACGAATGGCAAACATTCGACAGCACCCTCCGCTTGGGACAATGGATATCAAAAAGAAATAAAAAAAATGGAACTGATGCGACCAGAAGGTCACTGATACTGGCGGAACTGATGACCACAGGTCAGTAATGCCGATGAAACCGATGTTGACACATGGTCACTGATATAAAAGAAAACTGATTCGACCAGATGGTGATAATGGAACTTCCTTTGGCCACGATATTTTGATTTTGTAAGCATTATTACAACGTAAAGCATGTACCAGTACCTAAAGCTGTAGAGACATATAAAGATAAAGTCAGTGTAACTATATGTACTACCGCAGGGTCCCTGAAAGTGTTCTGTTTCAAGACTAAATATAACCAAAATAAAGAGTAACAGATATTTTTATTTCTTGCTTTTGAAGTTCATATGTAATGCTGTGTTGTAGCCTACAGAGTTCATAATTCTTCTCGTGATTCATGGCATACACACGTTTCACTGACGTCACGACAGTACAAATTGCAACATTACGCATCTCTTATGCGACGTCACTTCAGTGTCTACTAACTAACTGACAGACAACACACTACTGTATAGTGGTGCGAGTGGTTAAATAATGTATCAAATACAATGTATGAATATAAGAGTTTACATATTTCTTGTTTGGAATCTACTAAAGCATAACAAATACAAAGAATGTGTACCCCCCTCCCCTCCCATAAATAGGAGAAATAACACCAAAGTTCGACTTATTATTTATTCTTCACTAAAATACGAAACTCAGCAGAATGTTTAAATTTGTTCTAACGTCTATAATTTCACCATGAATGCCAAAGAAAACGCTTCTCGTCTTAACATCGCTTATCATTAAGCAGCCATCACGCCGTCTAAGCTTCTACAGCGAACCCACCTCACGCTCAGGAGCTATTGATATAGTTCTACAGCGAACC